TCCTCTGCAAGAACAGCAAGTGTTCTTAATCATGAGCCATTGGTAGCCCCAACAATTAATATTTCTATAGAGATACAACTATTAAAATGTATGAAAAAGACAAGTCTGCTAAATGCCAGTTAATGTAAAACTAGTCACTCAGTCTAAGCACACTTTCTTATTTGGTTATTCAACTCTAAAGAGAGAATTTCAGTAATTCAGTGTCTACATTAAGATGTATAAAATATTCACTATTACAACTTCAAAATTACAATTTCAAAATGATAAGGCACAACATACTTTCAAAAGAAGTGGAAAGGAATAACTTCTTGAATGTAAGAAAACAGGCTGTGAAAACACCTTACTATGATAGAATCTGAAGTGAAGTGTGATTTACTACTTTAAGTCCAAAGAAACATGAATAAGAAATTCAAGGATAAATATAAAAAAATTAAGGGATACAAACAAGGAAAAGAACTAAGCCAAACAACATATGAGTAACAGTGAAGAATCAGTACAGTGAAATGGAAACGTGAGGCTGATTCTCCATGGCATACCCCAAGCATGAGAATGCAGTGTAGGAGTCCCCAAAAGGCCCAGCAAGTACTACCTAGTGCACGCAACAACTGTCCTGCTGGCTGCAAGCCTCAGCTAGCAGGAGCCTACTGTCCTCCCCTCTGTGCTGGCTTTCAGCAAATTCATATGCTGAGCTGACTGAACCCTTATCTTCTTCCATCTAGAAGGACAGAAAAGCAGTAAGTCTTATATTCAGAACAATACTCTCATAGTACATAGTTTAAAATCAAAGCAGTAGGTTGGGTTTACAATCTGTGAAGCACAGACCAAAGTTCACATAACAGCACAGTTACTGTCACAGGACAGAGAGAGCCAAGGAGCTTCTTGAAGAATACAGCAAAGCATATCATATGACGAGCCATGAGTACAAAGCTCTTAGAAGCACACAGCCTAGTAAAAAGCAAGTTTCCTTTAGTCAAACGCTACTTCTTCTATAAAATTCAGTGCCACCAAGCCTTGGAATTTGTCATCTCAGCCCCCCTCTCTCCTCAGGATATTGCTCTACTTGTAACTAGACTAGAGAGCAGAGGGGTCACATGGCCCATAAACAGCAAATGTGAAAAGAGGCATGATTTCCTTGTTAATAAAATAAAGTTGAAATATTTCTTTAGGGAATGTCAACTTGATTTATTTATTTATTTTAATGTGTATGAGTGTTTTGGCTGCATGTATGTATGAGCCTGATGCCTGTGGAGACCACAAGAGGGTTTTGGATCCCCTGGAACTGGAGTCATAAACAGTTGTGAGACACCATGTGAGTGCTGGGAACTGAAGCCAAGTCCTCTGAAAAAACAGCCACTGCTCTTAACCACTGAGCTATCTCTACAGCCCAGGGAAGGTCAACTTATTTCTGTCTGGTTTTGGCTAAGAATACTATCTTTTTGTTTTTCTTTGTTGCTGATTTTAAGTTAAGAGTGTAAAAAACATCCATGTGCTATGTAACAAACTCAGACTCCTAGGAAAGTGAACATGTTGGGATGTGTATGGTGCAACACACTAGAAGGAGCAGAGTGTGGTACCAGCACTCAGGCCAGCTGTTAGGACTGCAGTAGTCCTTTCTCTATGACAACTAACCCAAAGATTCTGCTTTCATGATAATCTTTCAGAATAATGTTAATGGTACTAATTTATTGCAATATTCTAACACGTGGGATCTCTTTATAACTTTCTTCATTCTTTTGTATAGTATTGCTTTAAAAAAGGTACTTGTTTTAAGCCAAAATATGTAAAACTACAAATTCATAACATTATGATTAATCACAATGTAAATTATCTTCCCTTAACAAAAGCTGTCCAGTGTCTTTTATATAATAAACTCTCCTGTTGGCAGATCCTCAAACAGAAGATAGAGAGCTACTGATCATAAAAACCAGCTATTGATAAAGTGGGATATACATATTTGCCTCAACCAAAAGTAAAAATTGAACCTTCACATTTTAGATCTTGCAAATATGAAAAATGGTTTACCAACTCATTTGCTAAACATAATTATTGTAGTTATCATTTCAAAGTAAAACATCCGAAAAAAATTAAAGCCAATAATAAAAACACAAAAGGTTAGTAAAACTTTAAAATACCTTTTAAATTATAAACTCATAGTATATTACCTGAAGGTTAAATGGTGTTATGTCAAAGCTATTCATTTGATCAAGTGAATAAACACAAGTTAGAAATTTTGAGAATATAAAAATAATTTAAATAAACATAGTTGCCAGGCTGGTGGCATATGCCTTTAATCCCAGCATTCACAAAGCAGACACAGGTAGATCTCTGTGAGTTTGAGACCAGCCTGGTCTACATGGTAAGTTCCAGTACAGTTAGAGAGCCTGTTTCAAAACAAATAAAAATCCCAAACAAATATTTTCAAAAGTTCTAGGATTTCAGCTTTCATTTCTTTCTATCAAAAGACATCTTGAGACTAGTGGTTATTTTTTGTAAACTCCCAGATAGGCATGGCTGTGGAGATAAGAGTTAAATATAAGATATATAAAATATATATTTCAATTTACAGATGTACTAAAGAACAGCAACGATACATGGGATACTTATCCAGCCACCAGAGTATACAAAGACACACAGGCACATGTATTTATATCACAGATTAAGGCAAGACAAAAAAAAATGGGCAACTCTCACTTCCAAGTAATTACAACTTGCTTTGTGATGACTTTTTAATTACCCAACATGCAGGAGCATTCTTACATATGACTATGACAAGCAGAAGCATTAGAATTATGCTAGAAAAGATAGGTATAAAGATATGAAACCAGGTACAGTTCTCTGTCCTCATGTTCAATTTCCATCTGAATTTTCTTTTCAAAGAAGAATGGGTATCATTTTTAAATTTTAATATATGTATTAATTAAGGTCAAATTAGAGACAGAACTGTGCTAATAAAAATGCTTGACTCTTTATTGATGCATCTGCCCATCTTTTGAATATTATTTAATTGATCTTTGGCATGCATAAGGATTACAAGGTTCTACTCCTACTCTACCTAAGTTTGCTCAGCTGATTCCTTGCCCTCGACAAAGGCTGCAGTGCGATGAACTCGTCACTTAAAGCAACTGTGTTGGAGTACATCTATAAGTGGACAGAAAAGGGATGGGACACACACAAGTCAGTGAGCTGCATTCATTATTTGGAAGACAGACAGGACAAACTTTGTAAATTCCAAACACCTGTTCCCACAGAAGCAGGAAATATGCATGGCACACACACAACTGATATTTGTAAGATACAGGCCTTAAAAACCAATCTTATTCTGAAGAGAAACACTCAGAGTGAATGCTGGCAGCCCTCCCTTTGATGTGACTTTTCTTGTTATCTTTGATAAACAATGAGCCATCTGACAACTTAGTAGCCATTTCTTCAACATTTGAAACCAGAAGTGACAGTAGAAGCAGAAATGATTACTGCTTACAGCAAAGGAATAATATCACATTTGTGATATAAATGACACATACCATCTCAGTATAAAAAGAGAAGAGAAGAAAATCACAAAATGACAGCAACAGGCTACAAGACCCATGAGTGGAAGTAACACTTTCCTTCCTTTTCCCAAATGAGAACAGTCAGAATATCTCATTAATCCCCAGATACTAATTTACATAAGAAAAAGGGAAAATTATTCTGACTTCACATATGATAAAATGTAAATTCCCTTTTTAATAAACTTTAACTTACATTAAAACAAATATATGGAGTATTTTTTTTTAACATAAGTAACATCATACCTTTTGGATCAATAAGCAATCCCTATGAAAATACACTGGAAGCTTTAAAACCATAGAACAATTAGAGACAAATGGAAATAAATGTTAATAGGTTGTTATTACTAACTTTTGGGGGAAATATAGTCCACAGGGTGAGACAAACTATCCTCCACAAAGTCTAGACAAGTGGAGCTAGAGCCATAGTTAAGCACATATACTTCTCTTGCTGAGAAGCGAGTTCAGTTCCCAGAACCCACTCTGGGTGGTTCACAGCACCAGTTACTCTATCTCCAGGAAATCCAATGCCCTCTTCTGGTCTCCCACTGCACCTGAACTCAGGTGCACATACCCCAGTCCCTCAGATGTACACATACAATTGAAAATTAGAAACAAATTTTTTATTTGAAAAGCTAAACAAATATAATAAACATTTTTAAAAGTAATACTTTGACTATAAATATTTACATCTGAAGACCAAAAATAAGTCTTTCTGATAAAGATTTACATAATATATTGTAGAATGGAATTCTGTCCCTGCTGAAGCACATATACACAAAAGGAGACACAAAAATCATGTGACTTTTTTCATCACCATTTAGGAATAAATATGACAGAGTAATATTCTCATCCTCACCATTTTATATTGCACCAAATACACATTCACTAGAATTATATCGCCAAACTAAGTAAATAATAAATGCTGATGTGACCAATGGAACCATTTCTTTAGCATTCACTGTGCTTAAACATTCTTTCATTTAATCCTCACTGCAAAGGAAATGGAAGACATTTCTATCATAATTTCACCAATGAGGAAATCAAGGCTTGAAGCCTTACTGCTACCAAATGGCATAGCTGGTAGCTAAAGTGGAATCAGTCCCCAAATGTCATATCCGTAAGGGTTAGCATAGTGTTAATTTCTGCTGTAGCTTTAACAACATGGATATGTACCTTAGTCATACCTAGCTGATGCAATACTGCGGCATCTGAAGCAGATTTAGTATTGTCATCTGGACATAACTTCTAGTTTGATATTTAAATTTTAAATTATAATTACTAGCAGCCATAAAATTAATAGAAAAAGAAAAAAATTAAAAGCACCACACCTAAAAATACTGGAAAATTATTTGATATAGGAATGGGTATTTTTCAAGAAAAGAAATTTGTAATTGTAGTTACTCATCTCTAACTGTTCTAACTAAGGAGTTACTGAGTATGAAAGGTGCTTACCTGTGCCTTTTCTGTACTTGTTGGATGAAGCTGTCGATCAAATACTTTCTTCACAACATCAAGAAATAGACAAGTAACAACCATGAGGAATATGGCAAACCACACCGGCCCACTTGACAGGAGCTGAATAAATACAAAGTACATATTCTGGGATCCCAAAAATGGCCTGCAAAGAAAGACAGTAGTCTCATTAAAGTGAACACTGGCTGTGCATAATATCACATGCCAGTAATCTCAACACCTGGAAGACTAGGCAGAACCTTGGGTTTGAGGCCTATGTAGGGAGACGTTGCTTTAGAAACAAACAAGTGAAATAAAAATTTAAAGAGTTAAATGAAGACATCACCAAAACTCAAATATCTGAAAATAACAATTTTAAGAGTGCCTGGAAAATTTTTATAATTGAAACTGGAAGAACTTAAATAAACTCATGAAATAGACTGTTAAAATATAAAATCCAGTTTAGTTATCTTTAACAATTATACCTTTCTACTAATAGGTGAATGCCAAGCCATTAATTAGATAACCATAGTTTCCTGGCAAGTTATAAAATGAATAATGAAGAACAGATAATGTGGGTTACAGAAATAAGAGACCAAGAAATAGTGTATAAGGAAATACTTGCTATTGATTACAAAGAAAAAAACTGCGCTGACGAGATGGATAAATCAGATAAAGCACTTGTTGCCTCAGCCTGACAACTTGAGTTCTCTCCCTGGAACCCAGTAAAAGTAAAATGTGACAACTATTGCTGCAAAGCTGTCCTCTGACATCCACATGGGTGTCAAAATAACAACGACAATGACAAAAACAACCTCTCGATTATCCAAATCTCACACTGAAAGCTAGGTTTTTCTTTTTTCTTTTTTTTTGTTTGTTTTTTTTGAGACAGGGTTTCTCTGTAGCTTTGGAAGCTGTCCTGGAACTAGCTCTTGTAGACTAGGCTGGTCTCGAACTCATAGAGATCCACCTGCCTCTGCCTCCCGGGTGCTGGGATCAAAGGTGTGCACCACCAATGCCCGGCTTAGGTTTTTCTTTATAAACACACTCAGAGACGCTAGATCATGGTATTATGAAGGTATTCTTTTTGGGTTTTTGTATATATCAACTTCAAGAGACTATAGGGGAATAGAGAAACAAATAGGGAAAGGTTCACAGACAAATTATTCATAAGTGTGTTCTTTTGTGATCCTTTTATGGAAGATAATTATCAGTCAATTCAAGTTCTTTGTGCTTACCTTTACAAAGTTTTGCCTGGTAAGTGGACCTAAGGTGTAACAGACACATGTAATATATATGCTCTTCAAAAGAAAGATATTAGTCAACCATCACTTACCAAAAAATCTTAGGGAAGCATAATTAATTATTAATCTTTTAAAATGCCTACTAATGATCTATATTTAATAAAGATGAAGCATACTATTAACCTTTGAGAGAGATGCTACCAATAAAAAGCTAATGGGTTTCTATGACTTGTTACATACATGAGAAAATAATTTAAAAGTAATATGGTTAGTATTAAAGGTTATGAAGTCAGACAAAAGGTTTACAGCCTAGTAAACCTAGCCTACAGCCTAGCCTTTGTGACCAAGAGGCTCAGTTTTCATGTAGAAAAATGAGGACAGTAGGATTATTTTGAAGATCAATTCAGAGGAATGAACTTATCAGCATAGTGTCTAAAAGCTATTAGGAGCAGAATCTGGTCATTAAGGAATCCATCACAATAAATGTTCACTATAGTTCAATCAACATAATTAAGACAATGCAATCACTCACCAGAGAATCCCACCATAAAACAAAGAAAATATAAAATAAAATATAATAGATCCCCAGGTAACAAGATGGTTGATCCAAGTCCAGAAATGAGTTTCCAAAGCCATCTAAAAGAAAAAAAAAGTGTCTTAGCACTATAAATAGTTTACTTTAACTTCTAGATAAAACTTAAGAATTACACATATCAATCACAGATGTCTAGAAGTTCCTATCTCCCTTACAAGATATAATATTATTAAAATAATCTAAATAGTAAATAGTGTAATATTTTTCTTCTGAGGGAAAACAGTATTCAAATATCATGTGATGACATTACTTCAACTTTTTTTTTTGGTTTTTCAAGACAGGGTTTCTCTGTGTAGCTTTGGAGCCTATCCTGGAACTCGCTCTGGAGACCACGCTGGCCTTGAACTCACAGAGATTCGCCTGCCTCTGCCTCCCGAGTACTGGGATTAAAGGCATGCACCACTAATGCCCGGCGACATTACTTCAACTTTAAGGCACAAAATAAACGGTGCTAGTTTAGATGATACACAGTGAAGCAAAATTTCAGTGATTTGCAACCAAAACCATATGAAGCTTTAGAATAGGAAGGAGAACTTATAGTGAAATTTAAATGATTAAAATTTAGTGAAAACATGTCCTGTACTGTTGAAAACAAAAAGGGAAACTATATATGCATAGCTAAAAGGTGAAGTAAATAAGATATACAAACAAAGTGTGTACAGTTTTCTAATATGGTAGCATACCTTTACCGTGACTGTAATAACCATGACTGTGAAGACCAAAGTACCAAACGTCCAGTTTCCAAACATCTAAACACAAGGAACAGACTTATATGTCACATATATATATTTATATAATATATGTTATATTAATTATACTGTAATGGAAAAGTAATTTTACTCTTTACAAAAACTATCTGAATTATTTAAGACAGATATACTCATGAATGCTGACAATATTAATAAAGTTACAAGTATGAGGACAAAATATGAAGCCTTATTATGGTAACTATTCTGGATAATGGGCCTTTGGAAAATACCAATATTCCAAAGATGGTTCAGAATTCAGAACTGTGTATAACATACTGTTTTTACTTAGGATGATAGAGTTGTGATTGCTTTATTCCTGTCCCTGTGCAAAAAATGTAAAACCTGGCTTGACCACAGTTATTTTCTGGAACATTCCTAACCAGAAGTTATAGCAGAACATTTGCTACCATGTATCTGGATAGAAAATCTTAGTATGCAAAAAGAGAAAAAAAATTAAACTTAAAACCAGTTTCTGAAAAAAAAAAGAGTGACCAATGAACTATTCTTCCAATGATTCCACATAAAAAATGGAATGTGGCTGCAAGTAATGTCAGTCGGAAGTATTTTTTGATTTTTATAGTCCAAACTTATAAAATCCATCACATACAGAATCCCCAAAGAATATCATCTTATTTTCATATTCAGACCATAAATATGCAGCTTATATGAATTTAGTTTACAAAGCAGTCTTAATCTTGATACTCATTTAGACTTTTATGTAAAAAGTTGATTTGTTTTTTAACGTATACATTTCTAACAGTGATTACCTGACAAATTATTTAAGCTCCCTGACACATCATTTGTAAAATGACAGTAAGTCTCACAGATGTTAGTAAAATGTAAAGTATGCAAAAAAGGATAAGTTTCTGGTACATAAAAAGTGAATGGCAGCCTGGCATTGGTGGAGCACACCTTTAATATCAGTACTCGGGAGGCAAAGGCAGGCAGATCTCTGTGAGTTCGAGGCCAGCCTGAGTTCCAGGACAGGCTCCAAAGAAACCCTGTCTCAAAAAAAAAACAAAAACAAAAAACAAAAAACCCAAACTAAACAAACACAAAAAAACACTAAACAAACAAAACTAAAAAAAGTGAATGGTAAACAAATGTAATTATTAACAGTGGAACAACAATATTAACATTCCTTTATATGAGGGTACCTTGTAGTCTACCAAGAAGATACAAAATGTAGAAATCATACTGAGTCAATGCTTATTTCTGAATCTTTTAAATATGCAGACTCAGAAATTCAAAAGTCAGTGGGTATCAACTGAAATCCTGGAGTGCCAGTTTCTTCAGGGATATGGTGGCAAGTACTCTTATGGCAACTTTGACCTCTGTTAAAACTACATGTCCTAATCCTGAGGATCTAGTTTACTTAAGATATGCTATGTTATATTTCTCTAGAAAGAAGGGAGACAGCATTTTGCTCATCACAAGTCACATTTGGTGACTTCTTTTTGAGGGTGAGGAGTAAGTTCATAAAGACCAGCTCTCTCCATGCTGACATCTTCAGCTACAGGTGAGAAAGAGGGCATTTGGAGATCATGCTAAGGAGAAGTAACTTAAGCTTACATTTTTTTCAACATTGTTAACATTTTTAAAGCATTCTTCATTTATTTTTTTACCTGGCCATTTCCAAGCAGAGATGTATCTTTCCCCACAAGAAAATAGGATCCAAAAAAGAAAATGAAGGCGTGGCTGAAACCCAGGGTGGTCCAGTACAGAAATGCTTTAATGCTCAAGAGACGGTTTTTACTAATGTCCCTACAACAATGTTTATAAAGAAAAAGAAATAAAGTTCATTTTTTAATCTTCTAGGCAATTAATTTAAACTGATAGAATTTTATGATGGCTAAAAACATCAGCAGAAAGAATAAACTTAAATTTGTAAACAAGCATTTCTAATAATGGCATATATCTTTACAATAGCCCAGAGTTCATATAATAGATTTCAGTATCTTTTAATTTGATAATAAAACACAATACAGGCATAGTACTACAGTGTAATTGTGAAAATACTGATTATCTGTACTATATCCTCTTCTTATTCAATCACTCTGCCATGATGATCTTTTTAGTGAGTTATAAACTGGAGACAGCACCAAGGTTCCTCATTATCTTCACTTTAGAAAGTAACCGTTAATGAGAACAAGAGACGGTCCTAGGTATCTTGGTAAACTAGAGCAAACTACTCCAAACCATAACTGGCTATGTCCGTAACTGGGACCTCTACAGCCTCTACAACAGTTTATAAAGATCACCGGCTGAGCGTGACAGGCTCAACATCTCTAGGACTATTTGGTTTGGGGGGGAGTTCTGGAAAAAGCAGGAACTATTCTATTCTCCTTCACTTGCACTTAACTTTGATTAACACTAATAAATTATCTAATAGTAGAATATAAACAATTTTTAGAACTCTAGATACTATTAACAGATGAGTAACTTCTCTTGTGTACATGAAATAGAATACTGTGTACAACAGTAAAAGGATGGAAGTGTTTACTCCTAAAAACATCAGAAATTTGTGGAAAATTTCTCTTTAATATTGAAAAATTTTAAGCCATGCAACAATCATGCTTTAGTATTTATACCTAGATACTACCTATACACATCCAATATTGGAAAATACATACCGATAGAGGGTAGGCTTGCTCTGTAATACATGAGGGTCTATATGTTGTTCCAAAAGACTATATATGAGAACAGGTAGGGAAGTAAAACAGATATTGTATAAAGTCAGGTACACGCTGTCATACAGTGTCTAAAAAGAGAAATAAATTAGAGGAATTTTGAGATTCTAAATTAAATATTTCTACTGCACATATAATAGTGGAGAAATATTAAAAATAAGTACCTTTTCAATTTATACTAAAATCCATTTTAAAGTGTTTTAATTAATAAATGTGATTTGCTTTAGTATAGAACTTATACTGTTTCTAGATGTATATTGTCCTTGGGACTGAAATACTTTTCTGTTATGTTTTCTCACAATGTAGTAAATTGGATCTCCATCTTACGACATTCAAGTTTGGTCAGTGTGATGCAGTTTTACAGTCCTCCTATATGCATTCTAGGATCCTAATGGGCTATACATCATTTTCTTATCCTTTCATTTTCCTACCTACCTTCTTCTGTACTGCCCATAATACTGAACCCTCTATTTTTCCCATGGAAGCTTTTTTTTTTTTTTTTAAAGTAGATTAAGTCCTTGATGATATCACCTTCCTCTCAAGTGTTCTAGTTGCTACTGTTGGTACCAATGCTTTAGCTTTTTGCCTGTGGTCCACACTCAGTTCCTATTGTCATTGTGCCAACTGGTTTTTATCAACCTAACACAAACCAGACATATCAGGAAAAAGGGAATCTTAATTAAAAAAAAAATGCCTCCATAATATTGACCTGCCTTGATTAATGATTGATGTAGGAGGGCTCAGGCCGTTGTGGGCGGTGCCATCCCTGGGCAGGTGGTTCTGGGTTGTGTAAGAAAGCAAACTGAGTAACCACGAGTGAACAAGCCAATAAATAGTGTTCCTCCATGGCTTCTGTTTCACTTCTTGCCACAGGTTCCCACCTTGGGTTCCTGCGCTGATTTCCCTCAAGGATGGAGTCTGGCCTGAGAGCTATACAATGAAATAAACACTTTCCTTCCCAAGCTGCTTTTGGTTATGATGTTTTATCATAGTAATATACACCTTAATGAAGACACTTATTAAATACTATCTCTTTGAAAACCCAGTCAAAATATATCAGGTTCCTATTATCATATGATCATAACGTATTTAATTCTGGTAAGCTATTACTAGTAACTGATGTCTATAAAGCCATTTAAATAAAGCTCTGTATAAGCAATTATGAAAAGGAACTCACAAACTTAACTCATAACTGAAGATCAGAAAAAAATGTAGCAATCATGAGCTATGTGAAAGGATAATTATGTAAAGTTAGTTTTTGAGGTGAGATTTATGTAATCCCTGAATCAAATCACTAAGGCTCTCACTGAATTTTTAAAACTTCAGGATAAGGAATAAAAATAATGTGAAGTGAACCTTTATTAATTCCTTGGTCTGACTTGCTGTTGATTCTACAGAAATAACACAAATAGGTAAAAGCAGTAAGCAAGGTCGGGAAGGTTAGTTGGTGTATATTAAGAGTCCTTGATGGAAACTGGATGCGGTGGTGGTAACTCTCACCAGTAATCCTACCACTTGGGAAGTAGAGGCAAGAGGGCCACCAGCTCAAAATCATCTCTGACTACATAGTAAGAGGCCAGCTAAAGTATATAAAAAATCTTGCATAAATAAACAAACAAATACACAAATAAATGAGGAGAGTTAATGTCAGTTTGAAAAATAAGAGTCCACAATTAACATATATTTTGGTAGTTAATAGTAATCTCAAAAGCAAGAATAAATAGTAAGGATGTTAGGTAGATTAAGTAAATATACTTAGTTACTTACACAACAACAACAAAATGAAGTCTGTTTAAATAGTTGTCAAGATTTGAAAACATTACTTTTCTAAAAAGACAAACACAAACTTTTATTTTACTTACTTGTTGAGAAAACAAACAGTAGAACTGATATAAAAACTGGGGTGTGATAAAGCACACATTCTGAAAAACAAGGCAAAATGGGAAGTAATTTAAATATTTACAACTAAAGTGAAAGAAGTCTTAAAATGTTACTAAAGTATATAGAAATAGATCCCCAGTTGATAACGTAAGATGTATTTTCTCTAAAGACACACCCATGGAAAACAAGAACATACAACTTTCATTTTACTAAATCATGTCTAGAAACTGCTTAAGGAGTTATATGGGTATTGTAATGAATACCCATATTCTTAGTTTCCATCAGTTCCAAGCAGTAAAAGTTACACTTTTAACTCTTAATTCATATCATAGATATTACAGTATGTAATAGTTTTATATTTCAAGGTTATAAGCATTTGATATTGCCAAACTATTTATAGCACATAAGCGGAACTATCATAACATCTTTCTCCCTCAATATTTTTCATACCACAAGTGAAGATAGAACAAGGAAGAATAGCTCCCCCTCTGATCAATCTACAGAAACATGCAATCTACTCATATCATAAGTGAAAGATAGAACAGTAGGCTAGAAGAAACTGTCACATCATCTCATGGTAATACACATATTTGTGTTCTATCACTTGCAACCATTAATAACAGAACACAGACAACATATAAGATATGCTGGTGTGGTAAATGTTTATTAGCAAGGACTCAACACGGCTTCCACTGAGTCTCACCTTCCTTGAAAGGGTCCAATGAGACACATTATTTCAACATTATAATCTCTTTTATTATACAAATAAACCCTCTGTAACTGAGAGGCTTATGCATTTACTAGTTTACCACAGGCCTACCCTTGAAACTAAAAAGATTAAGGAACTCTGCTAGTAATCCATGAAATTGGAGGTTCAATTAAATTTACCAGCATAAAATAGCTTTAAGCAAATTACATTTTTGCAGTTGAATTTGCACAGAATAATACATTTAAGTGTAAATTTTTATGCTCGATAAATTTACATACCATAAGATTTGAGAACTTTTTCAAAAACTGTGTTTGTGTACTCTCTCATTTTTGATATTTATTGTGTGTGTGTGTGTGTGTGTGTGTGTGAGAGAGAGAGAGAGAGACGGGGGGGGATGGTGGGAGAAGGGAAATGGGGAGACAGAAAGAATGAGCATGTTCACACCATGGCATAAATGTGAAAGACAAAGGACACTTACAGGAGTTCTCTCATTCTACCATGGGGGTCCTGGGTTTGAACTTGGGATGTCATGCTTGTTGATAAGTGCCTTCACCCACTGAGCCCTCTCACTGGCCCAAAATTGCTTAAATAGCCCTTTCAAGCAATCCTACCTGTGTCCTAGTGGCACAGACAACCACTGATCTACAGTTGGCATGCAATCAATTTATTACAAAATTGTTAATTTTGCTTAAAGAAAATACTTTAAGAATAATTTGAACGCTGGAAACATTCTTAAGTGGAATTTCAAGTTAAAATATCAGTAACTGATTCTTATAATCCAATGAAACTCACCTTATAAAAAAAATACTGTACAAGGGTAGCTATTCTAATGTAATAAAAATGACCATGAACAAAAAGTAATTTGGAGAGAAATTTAAATCTAGCTACTGCATAGTCACTGTTTCTTGCAGCTTGTCTTCCTTCTTTACCCATGATTCCTGCAATAAAGGAGAAAAAAGGTATGCTCACTGATAATCACTGTGTAATTTAGACAATGTATATCACTTTGATCTATTTGTAGTTGCTGTAACACTAAATCCTAATATACAACAGCTAGCAGCTATACAAAAGACTGTCCTACTTAAATATGATTATAATAAGCTAAATACATAAAAGCTAACTATATACCAGGCATGTAACATCAGTTTTCAAAGAATCAGAAGAAAATAAATATAAAAATAATACTGAAATGTTCAGCTCTAGTAGATGCATCAATCACACATGGATAAGCATAAAGTGCTAAACTTATGATGGACAACAGGTGGCTCTAGCACATCTTTAAATTCACCAGTTCCAAAGATAATAAAAAGATTAAACTTCAGGATCAGAAATTTGAAACCCATAAAAGTAAGCATATTTTTGTGATTTTAAGCTGTGGTGAAAAAATGAATATTTTTTTAAGTAAAAAGTAGATTTTTCTATAACTTTTCAATAAATAAAATAGGTAAAAAAAAATACACCCTAAAAGCAATGCATCATTTTACCTGGAAAATAAGTCTTCTTTTAAAAAATACTCATTTTCATAACATTTTATTTTAAAATAATGAGTGACCAACCATAACAAACATTCAAGTGTGTGTGTGTGTGTGTGTGTGTGTGTGTGTGTGTGTGGTTGTGTGTGTGTGTGTGTTTACAGTGCTTTGGTTTTTTTTTTAAAAAAAAAAAAAACCCAATAAGTCTTACATACAAAACTACAAAACAAGATTTTTTTGCTCTCAAGAGTAAAAACTCTTTTTAAAAATTTACAGGGGGGGACTATGGTAGTGCACACTTTAATCTCAGCACACAGGGGTCAGAGGCAAGTTGATCTCTGTGAGTTTGAGGACAGCCTGGTCCACATAGAGTTCAAGGCCAGACAGGGATACATAATGAGACCCCATTTAAAAGAAAAAAAAAAAGTGCAAGCATGAATGATAGAGATGTCTCTTCCAGAGCAGTTAAATGAATGATATGCACAAAGAAACTATTACATTCAGTCAGGATTGCTCAGGACAGTGTAGGACCACAGAGGCCAAGAGTCAAAGCAACAACACCACACACATAGACACTGAGGATGGTGGGAATTTTAAATCTATATTTAGGTACAGAAGTGAATTATGATTAAGAGAGAGGTGCACAAGAAACTCACTTCAATATTAGAACAGCAAAAGACTTCAGCCATAAAGTACCCACCATGTCACAGCAACCCAGGGCATACAAGCTGCAGAACTCTGGGGTAACAGGCAGATAATCATAATATAGGTATGATCCTCAGGGTCCAGCATGATCATGATTTCCCATAGCAGCCACCAGCACCTTGAACTTGACTCCAAGGCAGCATCACTTATCTTAATCCCTAGGACCTGGATCTGCTGGCTATAGCTAGATGTGAACAGCAGCCAGGCTTGGGGAAAGGCAGGCTACAGAAAGCCAAGTCAGAGGCTGTGTTGCTGTCAGTCACACTTGACTAGGCTCCAGGTTGTTCAGAATGGGTGTGGGAGGGCTCACCCCCAATGTTTCCAGGGTTGGGTTTTGCTGTGACAGGTAGCTAAGTTGACAGTGGACCAAGCCACCTCACTGCCTCGATACTCACTGTACATCAAGAACAGGACTGATGGTGGTAGTGCTAAGACATGAACAGTTACTATGAGCAAGAAAAAGAGAAAGGATGTGCAGAGACTTAGTGATGCAAATGGATATTGCTTTTAACTTGGAGAGATGTGTCACTCAATCCTGTGGCTTGCTGAAAGTGTGCAGAGAGCAATGACAGCAAACATTTTTTTTTTCTGCATCAAAAGACATTCACATCTGTTGGAAGACTAAGTTTTGTACCTAGGAAATCCTCTTTAGTTGACTGCATTAAGTGAAGTACTTGTACTTCCCTCCCTGTGTCACCTGCTGTGAATGCTGGATGGTGTGTGTTCCCTGTTACTGATCTGGAGGTGTGGGGATGAAGGTGAACTGAAGCTGAAGGACTGTGAACATGCACTGAGCCTCTGGGGTGCTTTGCAGGAGAACTTGGAGGCACAGTTCCCCAGGGAGTTCAGGTGTCTTAGAGAAGGTGGAAGTTCTCATGGCTGTTAGCTGCCCATAAGATGCTTTTTGCTGCAGGTCTGTGTCCTGTGTTTGGATGCGTTTTTATACTGCTGAGAATTCTTAAAACAGATTTAAAAACAACAGGACAGTCAAAACAAATGTGGCACTGCATTTGAGAGTCATTACTAAAAGCAAAGTAGGTTTTTATTTTGTGTGTGTGTCTGTGTGAAGAAATTTACTTAGATGCTAGAATCCTCCAGCAACTAAACACAACCCAACACTGGATGACCCAGGCTCATCTGAGTCACAGAGTCAGAAGTCAGGGTTCTATGTTAAACAAGAAAAGGCTGGTCATCAGAGGTTATATATAGGTCTTTTAAGTTGCTTTATCTGTTCTTGATTCGATTTTGGTAAGTGATATCTGTCCAGAAATTGTCCATTTCCTTTAAATTTTCCAATTTTGTGGAGTACAGGTTTTCAAAGTATGACCTGATGATTCTCTAGATTTCCTCAGTGTCCGTTGTTATGTCTCCCTTTTCATTTCTGATTTTGTTAATTTGCATGTTCTCTCTCTGCCTTTTGGTAAGTTTGGATAAAGGTTTGTCTACCTTGTTGATTTTCTTGAAGAACCAACTCTTTGTTACACTGATTCTTTGAATTGTTTTCTTTGTTTCGGCTTTACTGATTTCTGCCCTCAGTTTGATTATTTCCTGGCCTCTACTCTTCCTGGGAATACTTGCTTCCTTTTGTTCTAGAGCTTTCAGCTGTGATGTCAACTCTCCGGTGTGTCTATTCTCTAGTCTATTCATGTGAGAACTTAGAGCTATGAACTTTCCTCTTAGTACTGCTTTCAAAGTATGCCATAAGTTTGGGTATGTTGTGTCTTCATTTTCATTGAATTGTAGGAAGTCTTTAATTTCTTTCTTTATTTCTTCCTGGACCCAGGAATGGTGCAATTGTGTGTTGTTCAATTTCCATGAGTTGGTAGGTTTTCTGCAATTTGTGTTGTTTTTGAATTCTAACTTTAAAACATAATGGTCTGATAAGACACAGGAGATTATTCCAATTTTTTTGTACCTGTTGAGGTTTGCTATGCTGCCGAGTATGTGGTCAATTTTTGAGAAGGTTCCATGTGATGCTGAAAAGAAGGTATATTCTTTTGTGTTTGGGTGGAAAGTTCTATAGATGTCTGTTAATCCCAATTGGGTCATAACTTCAGTTAGTTCCTTTGTCTCTTTGTTAAATTTCTGTCTGGTCATCCTGTCCAGTGGTGAGAGTGGCATGTTGAAGTCTCCCACTATAACTGTGTGAGGTCTTATTTGTAATTTGAGTTTTAATAATTTTTTTTTTTAACAAACGTTGATGTCTTTGTATTTGGGGCATAGATGTTTAGAATTGAGACTTCTTCCTGATGGATTTTTCCTGTGATGAATATGAAGTGCCCTTCATCTCTTTTGATTTTAGTTTGAAGTCTAATTTGTTAGATACTAGGATAGCTACCCCAGCTCATTTCTTGGGTCCATTTGATTGGAATATCTCATCCCAACCCTTTACTCTGAGGTAATGTCTGTCTTTGAATTCGAGGTGTGTTTCTTGTATGCAGCAGAAGGATGGATTCTGTCTTCATATCCATTCTGTTAGCCTGTGTCTTTTTATAGGCTAGTTAAAACCATTAATATAGAGGGAAATTAAGGACCACTGAGTGCTTATTCTTTTTTGTTTTTGATTTGTTGTTGGCAGTGGTATTGTATGTGCATTTACCCTGCCTTTTCTTTTGGGTTTTGGTATTGGTAAAGTGGGATTATCTGTTGCCTATGTTTTTGTGAGTGTAGTTAATTTCCTTAGGTTGGAGTTTTCCTTCCAGTACTTTCTGTAGGGCTGGATTAGTGGTTACATATTGTTTAAATCTGGTTTTGTTCTAGAATATCTTGTTTTCTCCATTTATAGTAATTGAAAGCTTTGCTGGGTATAGTAGTGTGGGCTGGCATCAGTGTTCTCTCAGAGTTGGTAGAATATCTATCCAGGTCCTCTTTCAGAGTTTCCATGGAGAAGTCTGGTGTAATTCTGATAGGTTTGCCTTTATATGTTACTTGGCCTTTTTCCTTTGCTGCTCTTAATATATTTCTTTACTCTGTATGTTTGGTGTTTAAATTATTATGTGATGAGGGGACTTTCTTTTTGGTACAGTATATTTGGTGTTCTATAAGTTTCTTGTACTTTCATTGGCATGTCTTTCTTTAGGTTGGAAAAGTTTTCTACTATGATTTTGTTGAATATGTTTTCTGCACCTTTTAGGTGGGTTTCTTCACCTTCTTCTATACCTATTATCCTTAGGTTTGGTCTTTTCATGGTGTCCCATATTTCCTGGATACTTTGTCTTAAGGATTTGTTGGACTTAAGATTTTCTTTGCTCAATGAATTTATTTCCTCTAGTTTATCTTCAGCGTCTGAGATTCTATCTTCCATCTCTTGTATTCTGTTGGTTATGCTTGCATCTGTGGTTCCTTATTGTTTATTCAGCTTTTCCACTTCCAACATTCCCTCAGTTTGTGTTTACTTCATTGTCTCTATTCAGTTTTCAGGTCCTGAACTGTTGCCTTCTGCTGTTTAATTGTATTTCCTTGGCTTTCCTTGATTTCTTGCAT